ATATATATGATATATAGCACTTCAACCCTGCCTTAAAGAAAGGTAGACTGGGGAAGGGAAAGCTGATCAATGCAAAATAAGTTCATCTTTCAGGAACAACTTCATGCCAGGCAAATGGCGTAAGTGTCATAGATTTTTCTCTGTTGTGAATGCCAGGCAAGCATGTCCTGATTTAGCTCAGTGAAGTCAGTGGTAGAAACTGGGGGTTACATGAAGAGGAGACAGTCTCATTTCAGGACACAAGGACTGAAGTTAGAGTTGATTCAGCAGAATCAAAAGATCCCTGTTACGGATTTTGTAGATAAGGTTTTACAAGAGAAGCCCCACAGACCAGGCAACAAGAAGAATAAAGCAAGATTCTGGGTCAATCCAGAAGCCTTCAGACTCAAGCAACGCCACTACAAACCTAAACAAAAACCAGAACCAGAAATGCTTTGTGAGGGTCGTAAAAAGATAAATCATAGGAGAGTATGTGAATGCTTTTATACGTAACAAAGAATAATTGAAGAAACCACTGGGCAATGGAGAAAATCTATTTCGTGATGGTACTGAGAGGCACTGGAGCTTGTAAGGATTATAAAAATAATAATGTAGGGTTATAAATAATATGAGAAATTGAATATGCTAATGGACTCGTGACGATGAAAGCTGGAAACAGAGAATTAGGTCAGACTAGCTAACAGAACTATGAAGCAGTGGAAAATGGAATTTTAGGTGGGAGCCCCTGATCCTTTCCTGAGGCAAACAGCTACAAGACTCACGCATGAGGCAAATCATCACATAGAACTCTCTCATTCAGCGTTCAAGGCTTCTCATCTTGTGGATGAGGAAACGACCCCCAGAGAGGTCATAAATCTTTACCACCAACGAACAATGAAGCCCATGGCAGGGTCAGGACAGACTTGGAACAGCACGTTTCCAGAACCCGCTGCGCATTCCCCTGACTACTCCGACCCACCACACGCTTCTGGTTCTTCTGTCTGAGTAACAGCAATAATTTAATAAGAGGGATTTTGAAATGTCTTTCGAAATTAGTGGAAGAAGTAAGGTTTGCGGGGGGGGGGGCATCATAGGTTTTTAAAAGTATGTTATTTTACTTTTCGTTTATCACATGAAATAACCAATATTGTCATGGGACAAGGTAGGGAGGAATTTTAAAACTCCCTTTTTATATACCACACATATATTCTGAAGTTCTAAAGTTATATCATTAATGGCACATAAAGCTGTGCATAGAAGAGATGTCTGTCCAGGGGAGATATGTATCTTGATTGAAAAGACTCATTCTCTCTCTTTTTTTAAAATGTGTATGTATATATGTATGTATATATGTATTTTTATTTATTCTTAAATGTTTACTTTTAAAAAAAATTTTTTTAAAAAAAATTTTTTTTTTCAACGTTTATTTATTTTTGGGACAGAGACAGAGCATGAATGGGGGAGGGGCAGAGAGAGAGAGGGAGACACAGAATCAGAAACAGGCTCCAGGCTCTGAGCCATCAGCCATCAGCCCAGAGCCTGACTCGGGGCTCGAACTCCCGGACCGCGAGATCGTGACCTGGTTGAAGTCGGACGCTTAACCGACTGCGCCACCCAGGCGCCCCTTAAAAAAATTTTTTTTAATGTTTATTTATTTTTGAGAGAGAGACAGAGCATGAGTGGGGGAGGAGCAAAGAGAGAGGGACACAGAATCCGAAGCAGGCTCCAGGCTCTGAGCTGTCAGCACAGAGCCCAACGCGGGGCTCGAACCCACAAACTGTGAGATCATGACCCGAGCCGAAGTCGGACACTCAACCGACTGAGCCACCCAGGTTACCCTTCATTCTCTTTTTAAGTAAGTTCCATGCATACTCCCAAGAACGTTTCAGTCAAGTTTCCAAAAGATGGTTTTTACCTCCTACTTTTCGCCCATCCAAATTTGGGCCTCTGAAGCCTCATCTTACTTCTTTCAATAGGTCTATTTTTGAAAACCCTAGGCCACATTCATTCTCTGCATTTCCACTATGACAGGGGGGGATAGAGAGAGAGAGAGAGAGAGAGGGAGGGAGAGAGAGAGAAAATACATATATTAATTTTTATTCATTTGTTTTTGTCAGCTTGGACAGAAAGGTCTACACCAGGCAGGCCCGGACAGTGAATCAGATCTGACTGCTGCACGTTCCATTTCACTTTGGTGACCCAGCTGTCTAACCACCAAGTGTCTCTCTTTCTTTTCATCCTCTATGCTAAAAACAAAAAGTAAATGACTTTTCTCCCAAAGCCAAGAAGATTAAGAAAATAACCAACTTTTCCCTCTGCCGTACCTCTAATCATAGAATTAGGGACCATACTGAAAATCAGTGCTCGATTTGTCCCTCTGGGGAGTCATTCCAAAGCCTTCAACACCACAACCCATGCCCCCAAACACACTCGAGAGACGATGTCAAAGGTGGGTTCTGCTGTTATGCGACTCCAGGAATCATTTGAGCATCTACTCCCATCAGTAACGTTACCCAAAAATCACGTAAATACTAGCAGAGAGAGCTGTATATGTGGCCAAATTCCTCCGAGAGCAGTCACCCTTCAATGTGCCACACCAAACACACAGAGTCACCCAGGTAGTATGTGTATCACCTGTTCTTTCTCAAGGCATCCAGATGGCGTTCACGGTAGAGGCCAAATTAACGTTTAAAGTTCGAAGCCCGCATAACGTTCACAATCGTGACCACTTCTAGACCTAAATATTGCCGAGTACGAAGTAGCATTTTTTAATTTAGTTTATTTAGGTTTTAAATCTTTCATGAATAAAAGAACAATATATATAATGCAAACCAAATTTGTAAATATTTTTCTTAGTACTCACAGAGAAAATAGACATTAGCGTTTCGGAACACTCCTGGTTTTGCACACTGAAGCCCTGTGTGCAGGGGGAAAAACCAGAGGAGCCAGAGGAAAGACAGATGACCTGTTTCACTGCCCAGGAAACTGGACGCTAGAACATTCTATTCTGTCAAGTTACGATTCTTTCCTTTGCTACGAATATTGATTATGACATTGCAGAAATAGCCGAGGATAAGTACTAATTAATACAGCAATCCTAACACTGGCACCCAATCCCTGCAGAGTGTTTCACAACCTCAGAAGTCAGTACATGAGTTTGCCTCACACAATATCATTCTATAATGTTGCTGCGAGTGAACATCACTCTTTGCAATCAATATGTATGTGGATTCTTCGCTTTTCTCCCAGGTTCTGGATTCTCACCTGGTGAGTATCCTTGTCCATGGACAGGAGAAACTACCATCCTGTGGTTTGTCAACCACTAGCCACCCAGGCCTGGGTCAGGCAGAAAAAAGAAACAAAGGTAGAGATGCCTTGCTATGCTTCTTCCTCTTAAAGCATCCAAGAAATTTGGAAGGGATAAGAGCTCTTCAAGGACACCTCAAATATGTGTCTTGACTTCACACATTAACAACCTATAAAGTAATGGTCATATCGCATAGCCTCATATGCAGACTTACGGTTAAGACGAATATATTCAAGTAACGTCATGGTGTAGGGGCGCCTGGGTGGTTCAGTCAGTTGAGCATCCAACTCTTGATTTCAGCTCAGCTCACGATCTCACGGTTCATGAGATGGAGCCCTGAGTCAGGCTCTGCACTGACAGTGCGGAGCCTGCTTGAGATCCCCTCCCCTCTCTCTCTCTGCCCCTCCTCTGCTCACTCTCTTGCTCTCTGCCTCTCTCTAAAAATAAATAAATAAAATCTTAAAAATCAATAAATGAAGTCATGGTGCAAACACTCTGCTATGAGCTCTGTCTTCAGCACCTGCCCACAACCCTCTAATTATACTTATCCAACTGTGTTAATTGACTTATCCACTGACCATAAAGTCAGAGGCAGGACAAGGACCTATGTTGGCAGAACTTAGAACGGAAGTAATACTTAAGTCATCCCTTAAAGGTTGAATGTGATTCAACTCTGATGTGACACGGGGAAGGGCATTTACAGCAGGGGAACAGCAAAAGCGATCAGAATGATAGGCAGTGTCGGTCTGGCCTGTATGGATGCCAGGCACAACATCAAGGGCACTGCAAGAGATAAAACTGTAAGGGAAAGATGAACATAATGGTATCTGCAGCTCTCCTTTGGGCATTTTTAGAACCTGTCGTGGACTGTGTGTGAAAATTTACACTCGAAGCCAAGTTCTGTTCACTTAACGTGTATACCAGTTCCAAGATTCTCCTAAGCAAGCTCCTCACAGAAATGACCAAAACCTCCCCAAAGGTAACATATTACTATACCTACAGTCCATCCTTCAAATATAACAAAGCATGTATATAAACACACACACACATAAATCATATGCAGCACACCATTCTCAGGCATTTCTCTAATAATCCAACCGCAAGACATTGTTCACTGTGAAATGTTATCTCTGGGGATCAAAAAAGGAGGAAAAGGAGAAAGTCTGGGATTTGACCACAGTAATGATTTCAGATCCCAATTCTCAATCAGCTCTGGTATGAAGACCAACCTGAAATGTAACTTAGGGCAAGTTTATACTCGTCCGTCTTCTAATCGGTTCAAAGGCGGTGCTCCTGACCGAGTAGCTTGTGTGTACTTGATTTACCTAGATGTTTCACGAGAGACTGTGTGGGGGAGCCCACCCCCCAAGTCTCATCCCACCTCTCCAAGACCTAGCGATGCCGTGGCCACTGGCATTCGCGTGACTAAAGGAAAAGCCACTGTCAAGGACATTTACGTACACAGCAGCCCTGCAAGTACATCTCTTTATAATACGCGAAATAAACGATAATATTGTCAAGGTTGTTTGCAGCCTTGCTAGGTTGCAGAAAGCTGGAATTTCCCCTACTAAACACAAAGGAAGAAACGTCTCACCCGTCAAATGTCGTCGTTTCCAGGTCTGAATGCTGCCAGTTCCAGGGTGCACGAGTCACACAACAGCCCCGCATCTGCGGGGGGACCTATGGGCTCACCCCAGGGGCACACGGCCTGCTCAGCACTCTAGCTAACCCCGTTGGCTCCAAGATCCACCTTTTCTCCTGGAGTAATATGATCATTAGCGAACAACGCTCAGTGAGAAGCAGACACAGGGTGTCTCTACCCTCGTGCACGTAAGGGATGAGACCGGCCTCTGCCAAAACTGCTTCCAGACTCAAGTTCCCACCTGCCTCGGGTTCCTCTTCACTCTGGATGGAAACTCCCGTTTAATCTCCTTAGTTACCCAGATCTAAGGCTCCAAACAGATACTCTCCACGTGAGCAGTGACCTTTCCAGAAGGTGGCACATTCCTGCTCTCCTGCCTGTCCCTGCTGGCCTTCCTCCCCGACCTGGCCTTCATTCACAGGAAGTGGTACGTATTGAGTTAGGACGGTCTTGTGTTGCTTTGGGCGGTGGGGGCGGGGCGGTGGGGGGGAGGGGGCGCGAAAATTCCTCCCCTGAGAAAAGCTGTGTGCTCTGGGACTCACAGCTGACTGCTGGGGTACCAGGAGAGAAGAGAACGGACAAATCTGTGGCAGTAAGGCAGGTAGGCTGTGAGAGAGGGACCTCTCTCCGAGCACGCTGTGCCAAAAATTGGAAAGGCTGCTCACGGAGAACTATCACTGGCATAACTGATGCCAACCACAATGCCAAAATATTTCAACAGCAGAGACTACTAAAATACCTCCCTACCTTTCGTTTCTGCCCTCTTCACCAAGTGTCACCCATTACACGGTGATCTACGCACCCACACGTTAACTTCAATTAATCAGGAACCGGGAGCTTTTATGTTCCCACCAGCCTAGCTCCTTCTCCTCCCTAATGTTCCCGTTCCAGTGACACATTTGTCTAAAATTGTATTACGCTGACTTCTCCCAAAGCACGGTGATATTCAAATGAAGGTTTGGTCCTCAGTGAATAGCCTTTTCCCGAAATGGAACACAAGGACAAAACCAGAGTCATAACTAATACGCTAGACGGCACATCGCAGTGCTAAGAGCACAGGGGACTATGAAGAAAAGCACGTTTAGACAAAGTTCGATTCTCAGTTCTGCAAAAGGAGAAGAGAAAGAGTAGGCAAGATCTTTTGAAGAAAATAGAACAGTCTCTCTGTAAAGTGTGCACTTGGTTGGCCTGAAATAGATCGGGCGAATTCCTCCCCAGCCACACGTTCACAATCATGTCCACCCTCCCTGGGCTTGCGGTGCCCAAGCCCATGATTCTGAGCCCCTGTGGAGCAGGCTTCAGCAGGACAGGGAAGGGTGCCAGGCTCCAGGCCACAACGTGGAGGGCGGGCTGCATTTGGAATGCTCACTGCAATGCTTCCAAATCCTATTCCTATAATCTAGTCAAAGCAATCTTATTCCAAAAACTACAGGTTTGCTTTTGTCTTTCCGTTTCTGTTTGTTTTCTGACCATTTACCTACCAGGAGCTACCACACTTAATCACGTATGCTATCTGTTTGGGAATAAAGACATCCGTTAACATGAGGCAAAAGTTGCACATTTTTGTCTTTATGTATCTCGTGAAGCGGAAATCTCAAATGTCACCTCAAGATTTGGGGTATGCAGCGGGGAGGCACGGAGGTGGCCCTGGGAGCAGGAAGTGCTGGCCGGTGAATGGCGGTCCCTGCTAAAGGACAAACGTCTTTGAGAAAGAGAGCTGTCGTCATTCACTCAAGAGATGTCTGTTAAAATCATGTGGCGGGCTCTGTCCTAGGTGACGTGCTTCTGATCCTCACAGACCCTCTGCCTGGTGAAGGGTGGAGACACGTTGCAGGCAACTGGAACCAGGTGTGAAAAGGGGAAGAAGGCTGGAGAAGCACAAAGGAGGGATAGTCAACTCAGGCTTGGGAAGTCAGCCAGGGAAGGCTTCCCAGGGGAAGCACCATCGGTGCCCCAATGGGAAAGATTAGTAGGAATTAGAAGATGAGCAAGAGTTTGGTGAGAGAGAAGGGTGTTTTAGACAAAGGGCGTTCTAGAGAAAGGGAACAGAGTTCACTAGGCCACTCGTATCTCACATGCCCTGAAAGCAATTTCTGATGCTTCCAAAGCTCTGAATATTATGGTATCTCCTCGTACACATGGATGAAGAAGAGAATGAACTTGGTTTACACAGTGATAGAGGGTAATATCTATCAGTAGAATCCCTGGGTTGAGAAAAGGGGCCTCACTGTAACACAAACAAGACGAGGCTCTTTCCCGGGACTGTCACAGCTCAAACATACATTCAGATCCCGGACAGGCACCGTAGGCCTTGGCAGTGGGAGGGTAAATGAGAGATGAGCATTTAACCAAACACAACATGTGTTTCTAATAGATTCAGTATAATTTATCTATTCACACGGACTGTCACTTTGTCCCAAAGGAAAAATCAGTGGTCTTCGTCCACATTTGTTTCTAAACATTTTAAACACGGTGGTCCTGCCTCTGCTTTGCGTTAGGTCCTTTCTTAATTACAACCCTGGCATTCATCACAAATTCAGAACATGAGTCGAGTTAAAAACGTCCTTTCTGGAGAGAGATGAAAAGAATCTGGTGGCTGGTTTGCTTGATTCCTTTGCTGCTAATTAAATCAGCCCAGCCATCATCCTATGGTTCCTCAAGTCTTGTATGAACAGGAGTAAAAAGCCATCATTCAAAACATTTCCCGGTCTCATGCAGCGTGTGCTGTCCCTCAAGGGCTCATCGGGGCCAGCTCCAGGGTCAACACCGCACGGTGAACACCTACCACTTCTATTTCTCCACTCACTGCCCCCTAAGCGACCAGCCGGAGGGCTCCTCCTGGCTTCTTCCATGCCCTTCCACACACTGCATCATCTCCGTGTGCACACCAAGTTTTCAAAGATTCAGGAAAGTCTGCACAAGCGCAGATGTTCTGATAATTCTATTCCTGCTGTCTGCTCAACCCCAAGCAAACCTAGTCACGACACTGTTGGTATTTCTGTTGACGAAAATGATGATCTGGATCAATCACCTGACCATGAAAGAACGCACACCCTGTTGGGTCGAAGTTTACCAACAGCCTTCTTAGTATAGCTAAATTCACACACAATGACATGTGTCATTATGTAGGTACATATGCATAGAGATATGCATGAAAGGGTACTGAAAATATCAGTGCTTATTTTTAGTAAACAAAGCCTTATCTGTGAATGGCTGGATTTTGGGGGATTGCTACCTTTTTTCTTTACAAGTGTGCGTGATGCCTGAATTGTTTCTGTAATGGGAATGCTTTGTTTTATGGTCAGTAAAAACTATAGATATATAGGTACATATAAAAAGTAGGAACATGTAGCTTCATATAAATATGTTTTACATATAAATAACTCTAAATATGTGCATGTGTATAAATATTTGCATACTTCTTTAGATGCATAATAAGAACTCACTTACTTATTTCTAGTATTCTTTAAGCAAAGTAAGCCTGTCCCCAGACTACATTTCAGGGACAGATGGTGCTAAATGTGCACGACAATAACTGTGCATTGCTCAAGATGTCCGGGAGAAGGAGTCAGCCCAGCCTCAGCATGGTCACCAGAGCAAGCTGAACCACCCTCTGCTCTCACTGCTCTTACCCCACCAGCCCTCCACATGAGGGTAGGAGGTCTGGAGCTGTCTGCTTCACAAGGGTAAGTTCTGGAACAGGACAATGCCATTTCGATATGGTGGGCGTCAAAGCCTAGGGGTCCTGGGGCTCTGTTCTGCCTCCAGCCCACGAATGTCCCAAGGCCATGCGAGTTGCCCACAGAGCATCCATGGATGCAGCAGGAACTCTTTGCTGGCCCCAACTGTGGCTCTGTGGAAGGCTTCTTTAGAGTGGGACGAGAGGAATCGCGCTGGGGGCAGGTACTGGTTTAGCGTCCATGACACCAGTGAGACTACGACTGCTCTTCAGGAACAACTCGTCTCTTCTATTTTTCCTTTCCTGGCTCCTCTGCGCTCCTATGGGTCAACCTGGAGACTACGCTCACAGATGCCACTTGGGACTTTTCACGGAGCTCCGACCATCACTGAAACTTTGGGGGTTGGTTTTTAATCCACTGGGGGAAACACTGTGTGTTGCCTTTCAGAATCATAATTAGGCCATCTTCGTGGGGGTGTTTATTTTCTTTAAAATAGTGAAGTGTGGGCTTTCTTAGATTGGTTGTCCCAACCCAGAAGCTTGTGCCAGGCTGGAGCGAGGGTGCTTTTCTGGTTTATTTGTTTTCCTTAAGCTGGAATGCACTGGTTTATCTTAGACTCTTTTGTTGATTCTGCTTTTTTAGTGTTGGGAAGGCTGGCTCTGGCTTACACATGAAAAGAAAGCAAATTCCTCATGACTGGGGACAGTGTGACAGTTAAGAACAGAGACTCTGGTCCAGGCTGCTGCTGTTCAAATGCTGGCCCCACAATGGAATGGCTGTGAAGCCCCAGGCAAGTTGCTCAACCTCTCTGTGCCTCTCTTGCCTCATCAACACAATGGGAATAATAATAGTACCTACACCACAGAGTTTATCAAAGCATACTTTTCAAAAAGTTAAAACACTATTCTCATGTAAATATAGAGCGAGCACGAATCAAATACTTATTTTATTCATTAGCAAGGGAACCAGCAGGTTGAGAACACTGGGGTTCACAGAATATGTGGGCTAATGTGTATATATAGTTCCAAGTTCAGGCATTTTTGTAACAGGTGGTTATGAGAAGACTGAATCAGTACATATATTTATGTGTATATATACTAACAACATATGTGTACGTATGTAATAATATAGGTATATAGGTATGTATGTAATATAGGTATATATTTACTATATATACTATGCTGGATAGAACTGAACTTGACACATTATAAGCACTACATAACTTTCACCATTATTATTATTTTGTAACTAAATTTTTCTCTCACTATGTATCCATCGAAAAAGGCATTTTTGTTGCTTTCAATGTAAATTGCCTAGAATGAATTTGAAATGTGGCATAAGAAGTTTCTAAATGTCTATTAATATTGTCTTTCTTTTTTAACTAGAAGAGATAAATCTACAATTTTCCATTTCTTTGAAATGATTAATTCATATACTCAAGGAAAGTAGGTTATGCAACTTATTCAAGGAGATGAATCTTGAGATGAACTTTTTTTTCAAGTGTAGCTATATGTGGTCTTTAGCTTCTCAAAGCTTTCTAAACTGTTAAAGGATTCTAATGTTTCCCAAAAGTCTGGAAGTGAGCCTTTGTGCTTGGTTTAAATTTGAAAAAAAACAAAAACAAAAAACATTTAGGGAACTCCAAATGCTTAATTATTAAGGACAGACAGAGTAAATACCATATGGTCAAGGTTGGACAAGGCTCTGCTGTCTTCCTTAGCTGGCCAAACTCCCCAGAGCTAAGGGTTAAAGCTTGAACATCTTCCAGGTTATCTTCTAATGAGTAAAATATGCTGTTTGTGCTGGTCTTTATATACGTGACTTACTTTTTAAATTAAAAATACTCTCCCGAAAAGTATAGAAAATTTAGTTTCCTATGACCCTCAGGATTTCTTCCTGTGTTTTGTCTGGGTCATTCTATTACCGATAAGCAAACTCACGGCCAAGAAGTTTGGCTTCCCATGCTTGTGTTTAAGGGGTCACTCTGCCCATCGCTCTGTGTCTTTAATCCATGGCAAATTTCAAAGCAGGAGCTCAGTCCAGGAGCGGATCATAGAAAAGACTCAATTCATCTACACTGAATGAACCCACTGAGAAGCATTTATCCAGAAATCACTTCATGCTTTCCTATCAATCTTCCGTACAAGTGGACATTAACTGCAGATAATTTATCCAGAACAGTGTCCCTCTGTGTTGGGGTAAAACTGGAACCTCTGAAACTATTCAGTAGAACAGTAAAAAATTTAATGCGCTCTTTGGGTCAAAACAACTACTTTGCTCATAATACCTGTATTTTCCACTTTGAAAAAGATATAAACTGACGCTCTGTGGCAGACAGACACTAACATGACCTCCCAAGTGTCCTCACCTCTTGGTGTTCATCTCCTTGTGTAATCCTCCCTCCTTGAATGTGGGTAGTATCTGTGACTTGCTTCTAACCAATATTGCAAAGGTGACAGGATGTCCCTTCCGTGATAACGTTACATAAAGCTGTAACATCTACCTTGCTCGGCTGTGCTCCCTTGCCAGCTTTGACGAAGCAAGCAGCGGTGTCCAGGAAGCCATCACACCGGAAGGAACTAGGAGCGGCCTGTGGCCACCAGCTAGCAAGAAACTGAGGCCCTCAGTCAAACAGCCTACATGGATCTGAATCCAGCTAGCAACTATGTGAGCTTGGAAGGGAATCCTTCCCCAGACAAGCCTTGAAATGAGCCCACGGCCCCAGCCAACCCCTTCACTGCAGCCATGTGAAATAGAAGACTCCTTTGAGTCATGGCCAGACTCCTGCCATAATAAATGTGTGTTGTTTTAAGCTACTAAGTTTACTGTCATGTTATTATGCAGCATTTGACAACCAACACGTTATCCCAAAAGACAGGGCGGAGGCTGACGTTTATGCTTTCAGCGATGTCCAAGTGGACTTCTCGTGTCAGGTGTGGCTACTACTGGAGAACAGCCTCCCAGCACACAGTGGGACTCACCAGGCCACCTCGCTCAGGAGAGCCAATGCTCACTCATCAGGGATCACCAATCTGCCGCTTCCCTTTAGAAAGGCTGCTCCCCTCTAAAGATGATTATCCACAGGCCTTTCAGTTTAAAACAATCTGCATGCTACATGGCATGAGGTTAGTTCGATTTCTAGACATTCGTGGCTGGAAGGGATCCTGACAACCATTTTTGCAATCCTCAAAATTAGTTTCACATGCATCATATTTGTGCCAGACGCTGAGTTAAGCAGTGTGGACGCAGAGGTGGATGGCACCTACTTCCTGATCTCAAGAGGGGCTCACAGCTGAGCAAGAAAGAGGGCATTTCAAAAGGCAACATTAAATTATAACAAGAGTGACAGAATCAAATGTCGGAGAAGATGCATGCGGAGACCCTAGAACTCTCATAAGTTGTCTATGAGAGTACACATGCAATCGGACAGCCACTTTGGAAAATGGGCAGTTCCTTACAAAGTAAAACAGGTCTCTACTCTTTAACCCACACATAGGTATTTGCCCAAGAGAAATGAAAACGTATGTTCTTAAAAAGGCTTGTGTGTGAGAATGTTCACAGTAGCCTTACTCACAATAATTTAAAACTGGAAAGAAAACAGATGCCCATCAACAAGAGAATGGATAAACAAATTGTGGTATATTCATAAAATGGAATACTACTCAGCAGTGACAATGAACACGTCATCCATATGGTAGACACCAGCACACAACAACATGGATGAATCTCAAAAATACTATGTTGAGTGAAGCAAGTGATAGACAAAAAAAAAAAGTATACATATATCAATTTCTATAAGTTCAAGAACAGCCAACCTTCACCTTGGGTGGCTGGAAATGACAGAGAAGGGGGCATGGAGGAACTTTCTGGGCAGTGGAAACGTTCCATGTCTTGACTGGGTAGACAGTGACACAGATGTGTGCACTCATCAAACCTTGTAAACTACACGCTTAAGATATTGTGTACTTCACTGCGTGTAAAATTTGCCTCGATTGAAAATTAAAGAATACACTGAAAGCACAGACTTTAGGACTCGGTAAGATCTGGATTCCTACTCCATCTCCGAAATTCACTAACTGTAACCGAGAGGAATTTATTTAATCCCTCTGAGCCTCTGTTTCCTTACCTGTAAAATAGGGTAATGATACCTAAGGTTTGTGTCTCCCAGGGTTGTTTTGAGAATCAAAAAGAGATAACATCTGTAGTGTATTTAGCTTAATGCCTGGCAAGTGGACACCAAATGAAAGTTACCAATCCCACTTTTAAAAAAATCACATGGAAGTATATATAAAGTGATGAGTCATACATAGAAGAAGCATTTCTGCCTCAAGGACAAAGTGGACCAGAGAAAGCTATGTAAGTGAGATAGTGGTATGAAGCAGCCCTTGAAATAGGATTTTACCCAGGTGAAAGAAAAGTGGAGAGAATCCAACTCTGCAGCTTTTGAAGGGCTCAAGATACCTGAAAATGGATTAATTCAGCAAGTATTTATTAATTATGTGCCATAGGCATCACATCATGCTATCTACTGAAAATGGAAGAAATAGCAAAACACAAAAATAAACCATAAATACCTAGCTTATACTGGGAGTGTGGTTGGCTCCGTGTAAATGGGAAACCTAGCCAAATTATAAAGGTCTTTGAACATGTAGGCCCATGTGATATTGAGTCATGGCTACCTGAGGCGTTTGGGGGAGGGGATATGGTTTTAGACAAAGCTGAGTCTGGAATCTGGAACAGACCCCCGAATTGCCAAGTGGACTTTTTACAAATCAGAGCCTCAGTTTCCTTTCCTGTAAAATGCCTTCAAGAAAGTTATCTCGAAGATAAAATGAGATAACTTGAGTAAAAGCATCTAGTCAAGTAGGTCTACTGCAGTAGAATACTTCGTGTAGCAGAGGCTTGGAAGACGATAGCTCACTTCCTATGGAGAGAGCTACGAAAACCTCAAAGACTTGAGTTAGAATATAGCCATGGGGAAAGGGGGTCCTTTAACCACAATCAATAGTAGTCTTGGTCACTGTCATTAAAATTTTCGTCCTTTCGTTGATTTTTTAAATGTTTATTTATTTATTTTGAGAGAGCAAGAGAGCCCGTGCATGCACGCGAGTGGGGGAGGGGCAGAGAGAGAGAGAGGGAGCGAGAGAATCCCAAGCAGACGCCTTGCTCATGAACCATGAGATCATGACCTGAGCCGAAATCCAGAGTTGGATGCTTAACCGACTGAGCCACGTAGGCACCCCCAAAAGTTAGTCCTTTTGAAAGAAAATCTTACTTTTAGATTCCAAAGAAATCTGTATTTTAAATCACAAAACCATTTTCCACCGTAATGATCAGTATCTTCTGAGTTGGCCCAAAGTGTCCCAGTAGAAACTAAGCGATTGATATTGGCATGGATGGACTGCCTTTGAGATCTTACACGGTAAAATGAGCCACTCAGAAGGGAATGCTTCTCTTGTGGACACATGTCTCACTCAACATCTGCTCCCTGTTTCTCCTATGATCAGCCAAACCAATTTCAAAATATTTTATCTAAATAAGACACTTGATATAGACGTTGCTTTCCTGAAAATTTAATCTGGGAAATGATGTTTGTTTATGCACAGGAATCTTCAGGTGCCTAGACCACACTCAAATTTAGGGTTTCAAAATTTCATTTCTGGCAATAATTACATAGGTGTGTGCTTTATTTCATTTAATATCTTTTTCCTGTGTTTTATTTAGCTTCTAGAACCACACTGAGTATGTCATCACCGCAACAGAGTGGTTTTTAAACTCTCTAAGTGCTACTCACCAGCATTGCCACAGACCAGCCCTGTTATAAGAAGCCTCTTAAAATACACAGAATAGAGCCACGCTGTGTTCGCTGCCTCCGAAGGTATGAATTAAGGCTAAGTGCAAGCATATGCCTACCGAGGAAAGAGTCTTACCCTTTTCAAACATATCAAATACTTCAGCAAAATAAAGTCCACGGTTTAAATAATATTCTCACTCTGTAAGGATAGCCACAGATGGAGGGATGTGCAGATGGAAAAAAAAAAAATCCCCACAACCTTCCTTTAGGCTACTCCCACTTTAGCAGACTGATACCACTCAGGTATCTCCTGAAAGGCTTACCGTTCTTAACAGAGTAAATGGACAGCCTCCCAGTGATCATGACCTAGATCTCCTTCTTGGTCTTCTCATTTGGAACCCAAGAAAATGAAACCACAGTTTTTGCAGTGATGAGAACAGTTCTATCTTGTAAATAAAATCATGGTTGGCATAAGACCATCACAAACAATACGTGCATACGACGGACTTTTCCTTAAACCATCAGGTGAGGAAAGATGGTTGCCAAGCCCCTTCTTGCCTACACAACTGAGGTTTCTCTTGTATTTTTTTTTCTGGAAAATACTGAAAACAAATCTTCACGATTTTACAGATATTTTCCATGCCCTAATGACAGACTTTAACCATCCTAAGGATGATTGCAAATAATGATCTGTGATGACCTTTGGATTTTGAATTGACTTGTGATTAGCTTACTGCTATTATAGCATTACAGTGGTAGTTAAAATGTAAAGCTACCATTCCTCTTCCTTAGAGACTATTATTTGTTCTAGGTCGACCAAATAAAATAATGCTCCAAAACTGCCCAGAAATGTAACAGCGCGCTTTTGCCTTTTCACAGGAAAAGCTAGCAACAATTAGCTGTGTGTTCAAACACAGGGGGAACAAAACCAGGCATCCTGGGGCAAATTATAAGGCCCAGCTGGGGAGAAAATGAAAAGTCCTTCAAAACTTTTGAGTAGTAATTGTCAAATAGTAATTCAAAGTGGAACAGAAAACAACAACAAAAGAAATCTTTCGATTTATTGGGACTTTTTTCTTTTCCCTCGTTCCAAAGAACAATTTCTTTTCACACATGGAAATTTGGACGGGATGAAATTCTGGCGGAAAAAAAAAATCATTTCAATAATTTCTTCTCTCTTTAGATATTACATTAATCATAAGAGAAGGAAATTATGCCAAACAAACGGCTGGCATGGGAGTTTGTTTTACGGATACAAATTAATTACTGGTGCCATAAGAAACTTTCTGACTTCATTTAATAAGAGGTCATCTTTCTCTGCTTTTTAAAAACATTTCCTGGGGCGCCTGGGTGGCGCAGTCGGTTAAGCGTCCGACTTCAGCCAGGTCACGATCTCGCGGTCCGGGAGTTCGAGCCCCGCGTCGGGCTCTGGGCTGACGGCTCGGAGCCTGGAGCCTGTTTCCGATTCTGTGTCTCCCTCTCTCTCTGCCCCTCCCCCGTTCATGCTCTGTCTCTCTCTGTCCCAAAAATAAATAAACGTTGAAAAAAAAATTAAAAAAAAAAAAACCATTTCCTTCACAAGTTAGGAGAGAGACATTTTATTCTATTTTAAGTCTTACTAGTCTTTATTTTTAAAAAATCTATTAAAGTATCAAGAAGAGCCACTATAATTTTACAGTTTTTTTTTCCCCCTTCACAAGCTTCTTTGTCATTGAAGACATTCAATTAGGTTTTGGAAGGCAGGCGTGGTCAAGCACAAAGCCATATTTTCACTAATCAACACCAGTGGTCACAGCTCAGTACAGTAAGGACACATACTGTATATGTCTGGGTAACCACAGAAGGGACAAGACAATGAATAGAGGGTGAATACCTGGGGCTGGGGGACTGGTCAGTAGGGCTCTGCAGGTGAAGGGCCCAGAGCGGAAGAGGGGCAGACTCTAAATGCCCGCGAGCCACATTTGCTTCCTGTCAATGGCGACCACTAGCACAAGACCAGTGGTTAAAAAGTCCAGCTTTCAG